CTTCCTTCCTTCCTTCCTTCCTTCCTTCCTTCCTTCCTTCCTTCCTTCCTCACTCAGGATCTTTCCCTTTCCTTTCCCCTTCTCCCTTCCTTCCTCTCCTCCCTCCCTCCCTCCTTCTCCTTCCCTCCTTCCCTGCCTCACTGCTCCTCTTCCTTCCCCAGGGACCCAGGGACCCTGAGAGCCACCGCCGGTCACTGCATCCCTCACGGCTACAAGACAAAGACTTTCCGAACCCGGACCGGGCAGCCCCGCACCGTCTTTGTCATCGAGACCTGCCAGTGTCGACCCAAGCGGTGGGCAGCCCCTGTGCCGCCCTCCCCGTCCGGAGCAAAGAGAAATGACGGCCCCTAAAAGCGCCTGAACCCTCCCCCCCCGGAAAGAGAGATTGTCCGGTGTATGAATAAAATCCATCCAGAACAGGGGGGGCCCAGCTGGTCGGTTTGGCGTCCTGGACACCATCATGTGATGGAGGAAAAGTTGCCGAGGAATTTCGCTTCCGCCTCCAACGGGGCTGCGCTGTCTTCTTGTGTGTGGGGGGGGGTTCTGCAAAGACTGAGGCAGGGGCAGGCCAGCTCTTGCGATCGTCCTTCATGGGGTAACCCCGATCTGGCTCTCTATTCACACAACCTCTTTTCTCCAGTTTTAATCCAGGCCTTCGTCAAATGTCATTAAAGACAAACTTGTTTTAAAAATAAAACTTATTTTAATGCAATGATGGGAATTACTTTCATTCTCAGCCAGAACTAATCTTAAACAGTTCCCCAAGATAAGCACACGCCTTTCAGTGCTGGGGAATGCTGCCAACAACAGAAATATCCAAATTAATTGTAACAGTACCAGAAAAAAAACCCAAAACCCAAACAGAATACACTGGGCTTCAAGAAGGACTTGGAATCTATTGAGCTGCTTTGCTTCCTGCAAAGGGTTCTCTACCTTTGCCTGTCCTTTATACCTTACAGGAGGGGCCATCACCTCCCAGCCTTACTCCAGAGTTGCCCCTTTTGTCTCAGCTGCTCTCGCCTTCCGGCAGCTCTGCACATACGCGCACTGGGAACAGGCTCCCCTCGTTCCTCTTCCTCGCTGCTGTCAGACTCCAAAGGCTCTGGAGGCAGCACCCCAACCCCAGAGGGTCTTGGCCCCATCCTTGCATTGGATGCAGGACCCTCGTCCGAGTCCCCCCCAGACTCCCAGACTGGTCCCCGTTCTTCCCCGCAGTCCCTGCCGACAAACCACAACGGACGGCTGCATTGGCACAACAATTCCAATTGGCCTAATTCTAACCAAGGGGGGGTGGACACCACTTCCCAGTGGCAGCCCAGAATGCACAATTGAAGCCCCCCGCCCCAACCCATATATGTCTTGCCTGGTTTGGGGGGTTTCTTCGGTTTTCGGGGGCCTGGGGGTGGGGGGGGGGGGGGGGGGGAAAGGCCTTTGGGCTGAAGGTCGGACCGGGAGATGGCAGAATTAAAAACGGGCAGCCTCAGGTTTTATTTCTTATTTCTGATCAAACCGATTGATACGGCCGTGCGTCCCTCACGCAAAGCGACTCGTTGCCGGCGAGGCATACAAAATGGCCGAGAAGAGAGGATCAATCCATGAAAACAGGATTAAAAAACCCGAGTGAAAGCCAAGGCCGGGGGTCCCCAAACTCGGCCATTTTTTAAGACTTGTGGACTTCAACTCCCAGAATCCTCCAGCCAGCAGAGCGTGGACCCCAAGCCTGAACGTGGCCGAGTTTGGGGACCCCGGTTGAGCCAGTCATCGGTCAGACTCTGGCTGGGTTCCTTCCGTCTTCTGGCCTTCAAGCCTTTACTGGCTGAGGAATTCTGGGAGTTGAAGTCCACCAGTCTTAAAGTCGCCAAGTTTGGGGGCCTCTGGCCAAGGGGGACAGAAGGAGGGAAGTTAAAAATAGTGGGACTGCCTCACATTCCCCTGGGGGGGGGGGGCACATCTCTTGGGGGTCCCCAAGCCAGGTTTAGAGGCGGCCCAGAAGATCAGCATCAACAAACAGACTTTTCAAGTCTATTTTTTTGGGGGGGACGGGACACACCTGGATAACTGCAGGCCTGCCAGGATGTTTGGGCACCGTCTGACCATGGCCCCCACCCTCTTTCCTGCCCCCCCATTTCTTTTGAGGTGGGGGAGTTTTCCTGGCAGGCTGCCGGCTCTTCTTTTCTGACCCAACTGGATGCCGGAGCTCAACTCAGGGACGGAAAGAAGGAAGAATTTTCCTAAAAACAACCCCCCGCCCCACTTCCGGATTGGTTGTAGAGAAGAGGAAACATAGAAAAAAAGAAAATACGGAATAGAAAAGAAAAAAAAAGATAGAAGAGTTGGAAGGGACCTTGGAGGTCATCTAGTCCACCCCCACCCCCCACCCCGCTTAAATGGTGTTGGCCAACAGGAATAAAAAACTAGCCTTTTGATGAGGGCCAAGGGGTGAATTCTGCGGGGGTGGGGGGGAAGTCTGGGTGATCCCTCCCCGAGGTTTAGGGGGGAATATTTCCTCCGCACCCCCCCCCCCCCGCAGATCTGCAGGGCTCCTCCAAGGCCAGGTCTCAAGTTCCTAGACTAGATGACCTCCAAGGTCCCTTCCAGCTCTATCCTGATCCAGTTGCCGCTGGGGATCCGATGGGGCTGGGAAGAAAAACAGTCCTAAGGAATGAAGCTTGCTGGAGGGTGGGGTGAGGGGGGGGCGTGTGAATCTTGGGGGGCTGGTGAGGGGGGGGGAGTGATGGAGGACCCCCCTCCTTCCTGGGTCCCACTCACGACATCTCTGGGAGTGAGGAGGCCAAGCTGGACGCCTTCCATGCAAACCAACCTTTGTGGGGCAAAACCAAGCGGTGTGGAAGCTGCTTGCACACCCGAGTAACCAGAGGCCATCTATCCGGGCTCCGTCTTTGCTGAAACAGGCCAGGAAAGGAGGAGAAGCAATTGGGGGGAGGCAGGTTGTGTGTGTGGGGGGGGGAAGCAGGTGCCCTCTGGAGTTCTACAATCCCTGTAAAACACGGGGCTCTCAGGGGTGCAGGAGAAAGGAGCCCTTGAGATTCCATGAGGACTAGAATCAGGCGGTGCTTTTTAGAAAGGCCCTCGGCACAGGGGCAGGACACTGTTTGGCCTCCAAGGGGCTCGGTTGCAGGGCCCCCCCATGACTCCAGCCACCCCCCCCCACCCCTCTTGGGCTGGGGTTGCAGGGCCAAGGGGGTCCCCGATCACCGGGGCTGCTCATATCTGGTGCCCCGAGAGAGAAAAGGGGCAGGGGGCTTTCTTCCAGGCCAGGAGGGTCACCATTTGGGGTGTCCCATGGAGGGCTCCCCCCTTTGCTGCAGATTCCCCCCCTCTTCCTCCCCCCAGAAGCCCCTAATTCCTGTCTGCCAATGGCCCCCCGCTGTTCCCCATTAGGTGCCCGTTAGCCCCCCGGGGAGAGCCAACCCATCTGGCTGGCAGCCTCCATTCCCTCAATAAACTTTGGGGAGGCTTATGGGGGGGGGAAAGGGGATTCTCCCCCCCCCTTCCGGCCCGGGCCCCCCAACCATGCCCCCCCCCCCCCCCCCCTTCCCCCCCCCCCCCTTCCCGAGGAATCCACACCCGTCCCAGGTGTGTGGACTGAGCTAATGGGATGCTTGGCACCTTGTTAGCGGGGCCCATTAATTCCCTGATGGCCCATCATCCCCCGCCCTTTCTGCTGGGGGGTATAAAGGGGGCCAGGGCCAGCCCAGAGGAGCTAGTCCTCTTGAGGAACCCCAGAAGCCCCAGAGGAGGAAGAGGAAGATGATGAGGACAATGAAGCTCCTGTCGCTGCTGCTGCTGCTCACCTGGGCACCTGCCTGGCCTGCCAAGCCCACCTGGGGCTCCGAAGACACCCGGAACCAGGCGCTGAAGCAGCTGCTGGAGGTCTTTGGCATCGAGGAGCCCCCCCAGGGTCCCCTCTACTTCAAGGAGCCCCCCCCAGTACATGGTGGACCTCTACAACACCGTGGCCGACGCCGATGGGGTCACCAAAGACCCCCACCGCCTGGCAGGCAACACCGTGCGCAGCTTCCTGGACCGGAGTGAGTGTCCCTGGGAGGGGGGGGGGGGCTCGGGGGGGGGGGGGGGGGGGGGGGCCTTTAATTCTCTCCCCCCCCCCCCCCCGCTTTCCCTCCAGGAGTTGTGGGGGCTCCGACCCTGGAAGTTTTTGGGAAAAAGGGTTTTTTTTTCCCTCCCCTGATTAAGCAGAGGGTTGGACTAGAAGACCTCTAAGGTCCCTTCCAGCTCTGGTATTCTGTGATTCCCCCACAGCTGGAGGTCTTCGGAGGCTTCCCCCAGGGATGCCTAAGGCCATCTAGAAGGGCCTGAGCCTTCTTGTAACCTGCCCTCCCCCCACTTTCCCAGCTGAGCTGGTTCACTTGAAACTGGGCTGGGCTCATCCTTGGACCCCGGAGGGGAATCGGATGGGAATCGGAGTCCCTCCGGACAAACTGGCAGAGCTGGGGGTGGTGCCACCTCCTGCCTCCATGCAGAGGCCCAGGCCATGCAGGGGGCATCTTCTCTTGGGCAGAGGGATTTGGGGGGCGGGGCTACTTCACCCCCAGCGTTGGCAACGGACTCAAAATCCTGGTGCTACCTCTCTCTTTTTTCCTCTTTCTCTCTTTCTTTCTCTTTCTCTTTTTCTGTCTCTCTTCTCTGTCTCTCTTTTTCTCCTTTTCCTCTTTCTCTCTCTCCCTTTCTTTCTTTCTCTTTTTGTCTTTCTCTTTTTCTCTCTCTCTCTTTCTTTCTCTTTTTCTCCTTTTCCTCTTTCTCCCTTTCTCTTTCTCTCTTTTTCTCTCTTTCTCTTTTTCTCTCTCTCTTCTGTCTCTCTTTTTCTTAGAGATTTTCTCCTTTTCCTCTTTCTCTCTCTCCCTTTCTCTTTCTTTCTCTCTTTTTCTCTCTCTCTTTCTCTCTTTCTCTCTCTTCTCTCTGTCTCTCTTTTTCTTAGATTTTCTCCTTTTCCTCTTTCTCTCTCTCCCTTTCTCTTTTCTTTCTTTCTCTCTTTTTCTTTTTCTCTCTCTTCTCTCTGTCTCTTTTTCTTTCTTTTTCTCCTTTTCCTCTTTCTCTCTCTCCCTTTCTCTTTCTGTCTCTTTCTTTTTCTCTGTCTTTCTCTCTGTCTTTCTCTCTCTCTTCTCTTTTACTTTTTGTCTCTTTTTCTCCTTTTCCTCTTTCTCTCTCTCCCTTTCTGTCTTTCTTTCTCTCTCTCCTTCTCCCTCTCCCTTTCCCTATGTGTGTTTGTGTGTGCCGCAAATTCTCCTTCCAATGTGAGATGCGCTTTCGATTTAATCCTTTCTGCCTTAAAATAGCCCTCTGCCGCTGCCCCCACTCAATTGTGCCCCCACTCAATTTTGCTAACCGGTGTGTGTCCCTCAACCCCCAAATCTCTTATCAAAGCCCCTGAGAATAACCTTCCATTTGTCTGTTTTAGCTCTCGTTGGTTCTCCTTCCCAAGGATTCTCTTTTCTCATTTCTTCCATTGTGAAGATTTAAATCAGGGGGGTCCAACCTTGGCCACTTGAAG